CTCTCTCTCTCTCTCTCTCTCTCTCTCTCTCTCTCTGTCATCCAGAAACTCATTTCTTCATGCAACAAAGATTCCCAAGCACCGACTTTATAGCCGGTCCCATGTTGAGCAGCAAAAATACCATGATGAACAAATGGGCGCATCCCTGTCCTCTCGGAGCTTCCAGTGAGGTGGGGGTGACAGAAGTTAACCAAATAGTCCACAAATACTTTAACTGTAAATCTATATATGTCTACATATCTTAAAATACCAGCACAGAAAAGTACAGGGGACTGGAGGGTGTTGAAGAAACCCTGCCTTAGAGAGGGGTGGGGGAGACTTCTCTGAGAAAGGGACCTTGAGGGCTGAAGGGTGACTGAGGCTGTCAAGGGTCTTGGTCTGGACACCTGAGGACAGGACATGTGCAGAAACTTGCCCACTCACAATCTAGGAAGTGGCAGAGCTGGGACTTGAACCAAGACGTCGGGACTGCAGCGATGGCTGTCGGCGCTTGCCCTTCCCGCCTTCCGCCCCCAGCACCTGGCGCACTGAGCGAGCTCACGATAAACGCTGGACAGGTGAGGGCGTAATAAATGCATGACCATAGCCACGCCGGGGCTCACTTCGCGGGGACGGATGGGCCTTTTTTCAGGGGCCGTGCTGTCCCCAGGCTGAGAGATGCACTGGCCTCCTGGAGGGAGGGGACGCTCAAAGCCTTCCCAGGCCAGGGAAGAAAGGTCTGTCTGAACTAACTGCCTGCCCGGCTGAGAAGCTGTGCGGCCCCCGCAGGCCTGGAGGTGGAATGGGCACCTTAAAGGCGTGTGGACTAGCTCTTGGGGACACAAAAGGATGTGCTGAAGCCTTCCCACACAGGGTGTTTCGATCAGAAGGAGGAGGGTTTGGTCAGAGGGAAGATGATATGTCAAAACTGTAAATTTGGGGGGTGGGGGAGGTGGGGAACAGACAAATAGAAAGAGAAGTTGGAGGAGAACCCAGAACACACATCTGCCCCCGGAGAAAGCCAGGTGAGCCGGACCTGACTGGGTTTGACCAAATGTGCAGGGGTCTGAGAGGTGCCGTGTCCAGATGCCCCCGCGTGTCAATGATGCCAGGATGCAAACAGCCACCCGGAAGTGGAGGGGGTGCCCCCTGAGGACCAGCAGCTTCCCTCGTAGGGGCCAGTGAGTGAGGCGGGGCTCAGGGACAGGTGGTGCGACCTGGGCAGCCACACGCAGCCACACTTAGAAGGAAGGGTCCACAGCCGGTGTAACATTCTGCTGTCACTGCCTTGAAATTTTAAATATTTTTTTAAACCAACAAGCCCACACTTCCATTTCACACGAGGCCTTGCAAATTCTGTAGCTGGTCCTGCTCAGGAGGCAGCAGATACAGGAGGACTCCTGCAGGTGTGTTCAGACACCTCAGGTCCTGCCATCTGCTCGGTGCCTTCCTGGTGTGGCTGCAGGGAGCGTGGACTCCTCGGGTGTACTTGACCCCACACTGCTATGGGGTGTGCTTGGAAAGTGGCTTTTGTCACTCAGTTAAAGTTAATACTAACTGTGGCCATTTACTCCTACTGAGGAAGGCTCTGCCCTCTCAGAGGGGAGCAGAAAGAGACGGAAAGAGAGAAACAGGCTTCGAGAAGTCCTCATCTCCCAGGAAAGACCAAAAAATCCTGCAAACAGCAGCAGGAAAGCTGGAAGGGGCCTCATCTGTCCAGTGCCTGATCCCTGAGGCCCCGCCCACCCCCCAATGCCTCCTGCAAGGGGAGAGGGTTCAGCCTCAGGGGAGCTGCTGCCACTTAGCGTGTCCTTGATTTGCAGGGTGTTTGCTTCCCTACAGCTTTGATGTGAGTGGGGGACACACAGTGGGGCTTGATGCCTTCTGTGCCCGTTCATGGGGTCAAAAAGCAATGCCTTGACCTGGCATTCAAGGCCCAGCACCATCCGGCACTCAATTCACTGTATAGCTGGGATTGCAGGGTCTTAAAGGTGTATCTGACTCTGTAAGAACTGCCAAACCATTTTCCAAAGTGGCTGGGTGAGCATTCTAGGTGTTCATCACACTTACCAGGGCTTGATAATGTCAGGATTTTTAGCTTTCGTTTTTAAGCTATGATCTAGCTTGGTGAATATTCCACATGGATATAAAAGAAAGTATATCCTGTTATTGGGTGGCACATCCCCAATAGCGTTCATCTAAAAATGTCAATTAGACCAAGTTGGTTGATAATATTGTTCAGGTCTCCTGTATCCTTACAGATTTTCTTTCTACCTCTATTAATTCAGGGATGTTGACTTTTCCAACTATAATTTTGGATTTGTCTATTTCCCCTTCTGGTTGAAGCATTTTATTTTCCCAGGTATTTTGAATCTCTTTAACTTATGTGTCTGTATTTAGGACTGTCCTGCCTTCTTGTGAATTGATTCCTTTATCATTATAGAATGTCTCTTTTTAGTTCTGGTAATGTTTCTTGTTCTGTATCTACTTAATACAGCCATGTCAGCTTACTTACTTCTTTCTTTATTTCTAGTATATCTTCTTTACTGTAACTTGTCTGACTTCATAGTTAAAATGGCTTTCTTGTAGACAGCATGTCGTTGAGTCATGCTTTTATATCCAATAGCATCATGTCTTTTAATTGTTATATTTTGACCATTTGCATATAATGTTATTGATATGGTTGGGTTTATACCTATTAGTTTGCTAATATAAGTATTTTAATGATTTCATTTTATTTCCACTATTGGATCATAAGCTAGGCTTCTTTATTTCACTTTTATAAATTTGAGTCTTTAACTTATCCAAATCTTCCTTCAGATAATATTATGCCACTCACGTATAATGTAATAACCTTATAACAATGGACTTCTATTGCCCCCATCTCACCCTTTGTGCCTTTGTGGTCACATATTTTACTTTTACATATTCTAAAACCCACTACACATTTTTTACTACATATGTTTTAAATAGAAAACTACCTTTTAAAATCATATTTAAATGAGAAATAAATGTCTTTTATGTTTATTCACATATTTACCATTCATTCCTTTTTGTAGATCTACGTTTCTAACTGGCGCTAAGAACTTTCTTTCATACTTCATTAGTGCAGATCTGCTACTGGTGGGTCTACCAACTTTTTTTTTGGTCCCAAAAGTCTTCATTTTGCAACCATTTAGTGATATTTTTGCTGGGTATAGAATTCCATTGGACAACGTTGTTATCCAATATTTGGCAGATTTTTTTTTCTTTCAGAACTTTAAAGATGTCATTCCCTCATCATTCTCTAGCTTAAGTACATATTTTATGGGTTTCTTGTTCCTCTGTACATAATGTGTGGTATTTCCCTGTATATTTACAATTGTTTTCCCCTTCATTACTGTTTTTTAGCAATTTGATTTGGCATATGTTAGTGTGGGGTTTATGTGTGTGTGTGTGTATATTTACCCTGTTTGTGGCTAGTTGAGTTTCTTGGATCTGAGCATTTATAGCATTCACCAACTTTGTAAAATATTAAGTCAGTATTTCTTCCAATTATTTTTCTGCTGCCCCCTACTTCTTTTGTTCCTCAATTCCACACTCTTGGTATTGTCCCATGGGTCACTGAAAGTCTGTTCCATTTTTTTCCAGTCTCTCCTTTTTGTGTTTCATTTTGGATTATTTCTGTCTTCAAGTTCACTACTTTATTTACTGTATTTTCTAATCTGCTGTTAATGCCATACAGTAAAATTTACATTTCTGATATTGTATTTTTCATCTCTAAAAATTCTATTGATTCTTTTTATGTCTTAAATATTTTCTTCATTATATTCATGTTTTCCTTAAACATTGAATACACACTTTCTAGTTTTTAATGTCTTTGCTTAGTAATTCCATCATCCTTGCCATTTCTTGTACTGTTTCTGCTGATTTTCTCTGTGTCATAGGTCACATTTTCCTCCTTCTTAATATATCTGGTAACTTCTTTGATTGGACACTGAGCATTATGATTATTATACTGTTGCATGTCTGGGTTTTGTTGTCTTCCTTTAAAGAGTGTTGAGATTTGCTTTGGCAAGCAGATGATGAGATAAAGACATTTTTGGACAAAAGTTTTTTCAGACAAACTGAATTTGTGGTTCAGTTTGACATTTTGAGGCTTGTTTTAACCTTTGCTAGGGTGGGTCTGATGTGGACTTTAAGATTATTTTAGGCCCACGAACAAACTGTGGCCCGACTTACACCACTTCCCCTAAGGTCCTGCCTGAACTGGCCCCTGCCCACCCCTGCACTCCCTTCCCTGTCTCCACTTCACCTCTATGGGCTTTGCAAATGCTGCTCCCTCTGTCCAGGCACTCTTCCTCCCCTTCTTCCTCGGTAACTCCTGCCCATTCTTCATCTCTCCAATCACTCGCCGTTTCCGTAGGGAAGACTTATTGCACTATGTCTCCCTATTGTATTCGTTTATAACACCTGATACCATTCCTTTGCAGAACACACATTTTACACTCTGTGTGATTGCTTTTTGCTTATCCTACAAGGATGCGAGCCCCATGAGGGCATGGACTTCCCCTTTTCCAGCACCTACCAGAGTGCCAACCCCATGGCAGGTGCTCAGTGGGGATTATTGGCCTCTCAACTGTCCTCTTTTCTCCATTCCCCTTACCTTAGTTTAGACTCTCTCCATGTTTTGCTTGGACCACAAAAGTCTCCTAACTGGTGCAGCTTCACCTTTCCACACTGCAGCCAGGGTGAGCCTTCAAATACATAGGGCTGACTGTACCACTCCCCTGATTAAAACCCTGATGGGGTGTCCTATCACCTCCAGGAGGAACACAATGAAATAAAATATTTGCCCTTCACAAACTCTCTGATCCACCCTTGCACATCCCATCTCATAGCAGCAACATCAACGGATCAACGGCTAGCAGCCCCCAGGTACCAGTGTAACTGGAGGTCTCCATGCCTGCACCCAGGTTGTCCTTGCTGCATGACAAAACACAGATGTGTCTCTGAGGAGGTAGCATATGTACCGGCCTTTCCAGAACCATTGCCAGTTTGAGTCAGGGGGGAATCACATAAATTATGGGGGTTAGAAATTACCACCTAGGAGGCCAGGACATGGCTGCTACCCCGAGCCGCACCCTGGCTCTCACGGTCCCGGAGCTGTTTGCCCATCACTGGAGATGACCTTCCGTCAGCTCTATACCCATGGATCCTCACATGTATCCTGTGGTTCTGAGGTGTACCCAAGTGAGAGCATGGCCACTCTCTCTGTTCCGAGCAAGGAGTCTAGAGCCAGACCTGCTTCTGGCCCCGGCTCTCAGGTCACATCACCTCTTGTCTCACCTTTACTTCTGTTAAAAACCTCCCTTAGAAGGTGGTGACAATGAGGCCCACACGCAGCAGGCTTCCCGTTCGCGCCCACTTCTCTGTCTTCTCCTCAGCTTTGGCTGTTTCTAACGCACATGCAGTTGGAGCCTCCACTGCCATCTCTTTCTTTGTCGGGGGCTAGCAGGGGCCTCCTCGTCAGGGTACTGGGGGGCCGTTGGTAGCCATCCCCACACCCACACGGGATACATTCTGTGGGGTAGATGGAGGTGTCTTGCTTTGTAGTGACACGTGGACTGGGCTCTCACAGCAACTTAAGGAAACTGGGTTGACTCAGCCCCCTTCTGATAATGTGGGAGGCCTGATCCAGGGGGAACTCAATACTGGAAGGGGAAGGAGGAGGGGCCATTTAAAACACAGCAGCAAGACAGGGCACTCAAAGGCAAAGCTGGCAGCCCCCACCCCACTGGCCCTCCTACTGTTCGACTGCTTTGGAAAAAGCCATCCAATAAAATCAATATGACCCATGGCGGGAGTCGACCTTCCCAGCCTTGGGGAAGGTTCCAGATGACCAGACAAAGTTCCTGACAAATCAGAATTTCTCCTGCACTCTCGATGCCGGCAGGTTTGGAGGTGAGAAAGCCGTAAACCACTGCGGTGCCTTCAAAAAATGAGATGGTGCACTCAAGCGACGCAGGCCGACTGGGGAATGGTTGAAATATTAATACTATTGCCCCGGAAGGACCACGTGCTGCAAATCCTGAGGCCAAAGGTGATGCAGAGAGCAAGGAAGTTATAAAGGTGGGGGGCAGGGGGCTGAAATCACAGCCACTTAGACTCAGGGAACTTTTCCTTGAAGCAAATGATAACTTAATGGGGCGAAAAACTTGGGTGGTTTTAAAATTGAAGCACAAAACTCCCCTTGCCCTGCTGCCCCTGATTGAGCCAAGGGCATGGGTTATGGCCGCAGTTATGGATGCTGAACTCAGCCTGCTGTCCAGATCCGACGGCTGCGGGGGCGCTGGTCACTGGGGAGGCGGGCACCACGGAGAACAGGGACAGAGGTGGATTTAACCGGAATGATGGCCGTGACCAGCCACGTGGCCGTGACTCAGGCCCAATTTCTCCCTCTCTGCCTCTTGCCTTGGATAAACTCCATGTAGGTGACACCAGAGTGATTGCCTGGCTGCCATTGGAAGGCACCGTGACATATAATAAGCCACTCAAACCGTAAGCCAACATTTATCTGTAGGGAGCCATGTTCGGCACGTCTAGAAAAGGTGAATTTTCCAGACGAGAAGGACCTTGAAGGTTTTCTGCTTCAGTGGTTTCTATCCCTCTTAATGCACTGCGTCACTTTTGTTCTTTTGCCACCAGGCCTCATGTTTTCAAAGATTGTGTCGCCCAAGCTGCCTTCGTCAAGTAATAATTAATTTGTTTCCCAATTGTTTAATTAATCAACGACATAAATAACTGCCAACCTGAGCTTTTAATCAGTGTGGGGGTGTGTGTGTGTTGGGGGGGGGCGGGCAGGGGAGGGCCAAAATGCAGACACTTATTAAGCACCTGCCATGCACCAGTCGCCGGCCAGACACTCTCCGTGTTGTCTTTCGTCTCGTCCTCACACAACCCCGACGCGGAGGGGCAGAGAAGCCAGTCCCCTTGTCCCAGGTCACACGGGCAGTCAGAGACACAGGGACTATTTCCTGGGTCTGCCTGGTGTCAACAGGTCCATTCTTTCCACCACCTGTTACTACCTCTGAGCCTGCCCAAGTCAGAGGACAGGCATTTTAGCCAGCCTAAAACACTGAACTTGTCTCCTGCGTGGGGTGAAGACTCTTTCCACTGCAGACGACAGAAGCCTGACTCACGCTGATGCAGAAAAAACAAAGGGTTGGGAGCTGGTTGGCTCACATAACTAGACTCCAAGGCGGTCAAGCTTCGGGTGTGGCTAGGTCCAGGAGAGCCAACAAAGACGCGTGCTCACCGTGCCGCCCTATCACCCCCTGATTCTAATAGGTTCAGCTTCTCTTCGCCCCTGGTCTCCATGTTCTCCTGCCCCAAACGTCCACTAACTCCAGGCTTATACATGCAACTGCCTCCCTGACATCTAAAATGCATCTCTCGGGCCGGCTGAGTGGCGCGATGGTTAAGAACTCGCTTGGGATGCCAGAGGGCCCCGGTTCGGATCCCACATATGAGGGCCAGTGACACTGCCCTCCACAGCTAAGATGCTGAACAACAGCTCAACCTGGAGCATGGGCTGCCATGAGTCGCCGGCGACGGCGTAGGCTGCACTCCCTGTGGCAGTGGGTTGCCATGGGCTACCGTATGTAGCCAGCAGCCAGCGTGAGCGGCCAGCAGCCAGCGTGAGCGGCCAGCAGCCGCAGTGAGCGGCCGTCCAGAAGCCGGCGACTGATCTGCCTCGCCAGGGAAGAGCGCAATGATGGTGCCAACTTGGGCCAGTGAAGCAACATCCTCCACAACTAGATTGAAGGAACAAAACGACAGCAACTTGTCTGTTCCCCTTCCCCCAATTCCCCAGCACTGTTCCCATCCCCCCAATTCCCCAATAAAAAATAAATAAAAAAAATAAAAAAAAAATAATAAAAAAAAGATGTCAGTGCTAATTCTAGTATGGAATAATCTTTAAAAAAAAATAAAAAAATAAAATGCATCTCTCATTCAACATGGCCACAGCAGAACCCTCTGACTCTCCTGTTCTCCATCCTGTTCCTCCCCACCTTCCCCCAGCCCAGGAGATGGGGCCACATCCACCCAGCCACTCCAGCCCCGTTCGGAGTGGTCCTTCTTTCTGCTTTTTGCGCACACCCGTGGATCCTGCTGGCTCCACCTCTGCAGCACGTCCCAAACCCTCCTCTTCCCCGCGGCTTCGCTGGCTGGCCCCACGCGCACCCCACTCTGGCCTGAGGCTCCTGGTCCCCCGAAGATGGCACCAGCCCCTCACTGGTCCCTGGGCTTCCACTCGTCCCCAAAACCCACTCTCAAATCAGCATCTGGGGTCCAGGTGAAAGGTCCGTAATGCTGGATGGTGGCTTCTTCCCACCTCCAGGGCAGCTGAAGGTGGGTGCTGGGGGCCTTGTCTGCGGGTGCTGTGATGACAAACACATTTCAGCCGCTGATTCTAAATGGAACTACCTGTTTCTGAAGCCACCACCAAAGTAAAGGCATGCCAACTGAAGAACTAGGCCTCGTTAGAAACATCCTTGCCAGTAACGAGGCGTCTAGGCAGCAGCTTCTTATCGATGCTGCAGTCACAACTCAGCCAAGCAGAGACTCGGGGAAGGAGGGGAGGCAGGCTGGTCCCCTCAGCCCAGCCTGTGGCAGCTCTGGCCCTCTGTTCACACTGGTCTCGCCCGCCAGGATCCCTGGCCCCAGCTTCTATCTCTCCATACCTAAATCCCTCCTCCAAGTAAAAATGCTACCTCCTCCACAAAGCCTTCAGGGATTCGCCTGAGGAGGAGAGCTTTCTCCCTTTCTGAGCTTCTAGCACTTACCTCATTTCCCCAAGGACAAAAGTCACGTTCAACCCACAAGTCTGGTTATTTGTACACAGAAGGTAGTCTTGTATTAGACTAGAAAATCTCTAAAGACATCTTAGATCTACCAAAGTCCTAGTATTGTGCTCAGAGTATGGAAAGACCCATTCAGTAAATGTTTGTTTGCTGGATGCTGCCTGCTTGGGTGTACAAATGATGGATGGATGGATGGATGGATGGATGGATGGATGGATGGATGGATGATGGGTGGATGGATGAGTGGATGAATGCATGGGTAGGTGAACGGATGGGTGGATGGGTGGGTGGATGGATGGAGGGATGGATGAACAGATGTTGGTTGAATAAGTGGTTGAGTGAATGAATGGTTGTTTGTTCATGGCCATTTTTTAAAGTTGTTCTTGATGACAACAGTGATAACAGGATAATAATGTCAGATTAGAGCAGCATATCTCAAACCCATTTCCATGAAATTCCCAGCCCCTAAGATGTACCTCAAAATGAGTACTCCTACTTAAATAAGTTTGAGAGGCACTACATACTATAATCCTCTGTGGCGTGGCCGAGATGCCCATTAGCAGGTAAAAGTCTGAGAATTCCTGCAGTGGAACACGGTTAGCGCGGCACACTTGGCGAAATGTTGGCTTAAAGCCTTTGTGTTGAACTCACTCACAGAGCGGTCCTCACCTTTTCAACTGGTGAACGTCTCAAGCAGGGGAATGAGATGGTAAAGACCCCAGGCTCCAGGGCTGGGCTGGGCAGCTGGATGTTGGCTACCTGGAGAACGTGGCTGGGGACTGGGGAGACACTTGGACCTGCCAGCCTTCCTTCTTCCTGCACCCAGGCTTTGGGGGGGGGGCGGTGAGGGGTGTTGTCTCACTTTCCTGAGCTTTCACGACCCAAAACTGAGTCATCGCACTTTATCTTCCCTTTGTTACGCTGGCAAGCATTCAGATGGTTTTAGCTGTAGCTGTGATACAATGCCGCAATGATAAAATACTGCTTATTCTCCTTGGAACAAGAGGTCATGAAGAATCTGATCATTTTTCCTGAAGAAATCATCTTACATTTCAAAGTAAAGACTCTCCAACCTCTTCAGTGACTATAGCATACAAAAATTTAAGATGCAAAGGCTTCGAAACTGCAGGAGAAATCTACCTGTATCCCTCTTCCCCACACCCCGGAATACAGAGAGGGAGGCCATCTATACAGACCCTGCCTGCTGGGGCTGGGAGGGAGGGTCCTAGCTGAGCCCACGGTGAAAAAAGGGAAACTCTTCATCCCTCGGCTTTCCTGCTCCAGTCCCTTCAGCCACACGGACCTATGTCAGTTTCTTAAAGGCCCCCAGCAGCCTTTGCCCATGCCGCTCTTTCTGTCTGAATCACCTCCCCTCCACTCAGCAGAGTGGCCTCTGAGCATCCTTGGGTCAGTTCAGTTGTCCCCTTCAAAGCATGGTCCCTCTGACCACCCTCATCGGCTTCCGCCTTTCTTTCACAGAGTTTGTTCCACCTGGAGTTATTTCGTGTATTTGTGTACAGCTTTGCCCTAGCTGACTACGCTCTCATGATGACCAGACCTGGATCTGCTGTACCTCACCTCTTATATCACCGGTTCCTCGCGCACTGCTTGGCACATAATAGGCGCTCGATAAAGATTTGCTTCAGTAGTGACTGGCCCAAAGTGCCATTCCCAGGCGTAATAGGAGGGCGATATTTTCGAGATGGTGCTCTCAAAAATCTCACCTCTCAAAAATCCACCCGCACACAGTACCACCTGCACCATCGAGGTTACTCACAGCAGCAGATGAAGTTGTTGGAGTGATGATCTACCTTTCCTCTTTCCTTCCTTTTGGCCAACCACAGCTAGTGGATCTGAATATTTATTCCAGAAAGAATTTCACTTTTATCCTGAAACGGGAAATGTCCCTTGTCAAGAACCAAATTGACAGGCTGGAGCAGAGGACTCAAGCTGAGGTTCCTTCTGAAGCGCACAGATGGACAGTGAAACTGTCTGGAAGCCACTGTCATTCCCACAGAAAGAGAAAGTGCACACCAAGCCATGGCCTTGCGTCTGTGGTTGCAGATATTTTAGTCCTGGTGGTTTTGACGTTGAAGCCACTCCACGCGCCCCATCCCACCACTGCCCACTGAGTAACCTCATACTTGGAGAACGCTGCTCTGTAATTAGACCCCTCCAGCAGAACCCAGTTGGAGCGGTTTCAGAATTCTCTCTTGCTACTTCAAAGCCTTGGGGTTCCCCCATCCCGCCCTTAATTAGATAATGATAGAGGGCGGCAGTTACGCAGTTTCACCAGCGGAATGCTTTGCTGCTGTGGCTTTGCTCTCACTCCTTGGAGAATCCATTTTTAGCTTCCAAAACGGGGTGCAGGCACTAAGCACAAAAATCTTCAAAGCAGTTTCCAGTTCCCTGAACCCTAGCAAAACTCCACCCCAGGCAAAGGCCACTTGTGCCCACCCTCACAAGGCAGGGCTGGACGAGCAGTTGGGTAGCTCTTTTCAGCTCTCTTCTTCCTCCACTAGCCCACATCCTACACATCAGCTACACTGTACGTCCTATTGCCCTGGATGCATGATCCCCATTCTCAGCTCTGAGCCTCTGCATATACTGCCTCCATTTTCAGAACGAGCTTCCTCCTTTACTGAACTCAAGGACTCCTATGCATCCATCAGAACCCAGCCTCAATTACCCCTCTTCCAAAGAGCCTTCCCTGATGCCCCAGCAGATATGGGTGGCTTTCTCTGTGCTCCCGTACCCTGGCACACACAGCCCAAATTGTCCTCTAGCCCAGCAGTGTGGCAAGACTGCCTTTGGACAATTCCTGCAGCATCCCACACTTTAGGGCTTCCAGGGTACCTGGTACCTAATGGGCGCCTCTAGTTCCTACTTCACTCCTGGCTGAGCATTGCACTTGGAGTTCCAAGTCCTAGGTTTAAGTCCTGGA